AAAAGATAAAGGTATCAGGGGTACGGACTCGGAAAGTACTAGATTTCTGTCTCCTGTTGTGGGATTTGCTCCTCATTTTCACTAACCTGTGGGACATTCTTTGCAAGTTGATCTGTTGCAGTTCTTTCTCAATTTTCTTTTTTTGGTGCCTGCTTGCTCAAAAATGCTTCTTATGCCTTCATAAATGTCAGAGTTCTGGGTTAATGCTCTTGTTTGGATACTGTACTTGGGTTGTCAGTAGTGGAAAATTATTTAATAAAGTGATATCACAGCTGCAGGACAACACACTGATTTCTGTGGCAAGCTACAATTTGGTTTTTGTTTGTTTTCCTAACACATTTAGAGTAAACAAACCTGTATTGAAAGTGTATATTCTAGTAAGTGTTTGTTTACAGGAAATTAATTTAAGTATATTTAGTTCAGTTACAGTAACTAACAGAGATAGGCCAAGTTGGAATAAATTAAATATTTTTTCTTTTTTACTTTTTTTTCCTTTTAGTAGTAAGAGTGGTAAGAGTAGCAATATATATATGGTGGTGTGGTTTTGTCTGTTACTTCTTGGCCAAGACTATAATTTATACTTTCAACAACTTTGTTCCTCTTAAATAAAATCTAAGTAGGTATATTGACTTTCTATTTAGTAGTAGCTGAAACTCTAAAGTTTTAGGAAAAGGAAACGCTGTCCCTGTAAGCTGGAAGTATTTCACATAAATTACTTACATTGGAACATTGTCTTTATTTAGAGATTAGAAGATAGCATGAAAACATGCTGCAGCTGCAGTTTTCACTATACTGAAATGCTTTTGTTCTTTTTTAGTATTTAAATGTTCATGCTAGCACCTCCCATCCTGACTACTTTGTGTTTAGATTGGTGAAAGGCGAAAAACTTGGAAATGTCTCGGAGAGGACAGCTAAAAAATTTGTCTTGCAGAACAAATATGTAATATGTGGTCTATGAGCTTTTCTATGTGGAGGACAAGGTTAGAAAAAGCAGAAGTGTTCCAGCTGCTGAAGTCAAAAAGGTGGCTTATGGAAGGGGTCTTGCCAGGGCAGATCATCGCTCGTCACATATCTGCAATATTTGCTTAGCACTGTTGTTACTCATCGGCTATTTTATATCTCCTGTTTGCTTGCCATGAGTCTAGCATCAGCCTTGATGCCAAGCATCTCAACTGTGGTTTTCAAATTTTTTTAGTAAATAAAATGAATATTTTTCTTTTCAAACTGGAAATATTCAAAGCGTTTATTCCATTTTCTAAGAATACCTGGGCACCACAGCTCTACAGATTTGCTTTCCAAAGAAAATTATTTTCAGGCTCTCACTGTGGTCCCTGCATTGCATGTTGCATAAGGCACCTCATGCTCAAGTTAGGACGACTGATTGCCATTTGAGTCTATCACTGAGGAAACATTTTATCTATTTAGAAGTACGATGTAGGGGTTTTAATGTTTTCTAGGTGATTTTGAATCATTGAAAAGCAAAGAATAATAGACATGAAAAATGTAGAGTAGATCCTTACTTTTCCTTACTTGTAAGGAAAAGGTTTAACTAATGGTGGGTGCCCTTTTCACAGAATCACAGAATGGCAAGGGTTGGAAGGGACCTCGGGAGATCATCTAGTCCAACCCTCCTGCTAAAGCAGGCTCACCCAGAGCATGTTACACAGGACATTGTCCAGGCGGGCTTTGAATATCTCCAGAGAAGGAGACTTCACAACCTCCCTGGGCAGCCTGTTCCAGTGCTCCGTCACCCCCAGCGTAAAGAAGTTTTTCCTTCTATTCAGCTGAAACCTCTTACGTTTCAGTTTGTGCCCATTGCCCTGTTAGTGGGGTTTTTTAGTTTGTTCTTAGCTGCAGTTGAATGTCTTCCGCTCTTTTTTTCCTTTCAGGTAAGGTAGGCACATCCTTCCATGTCAATATTTCAAAAGCCTTAATTGAAATACAGAAATATTATTAAATTCTGTTTTAAGACAGAGGATTGAAACACCAGGGACAATAGACATAAAATCACATAGCCTCCTGGAGCAACCACCTTCGGCCTCTGAAGTTGCAGGCTGTAATGCCACATATAGTCTAAAGAACCTTTTTTTTTGGTGAGTTCATTTTCCCATTGGATGAATTCCCATCATCAGCATGAACAGTAGCACTGGAGAAGGGAGGCAGTGATGATGGACAACCAATAGAAGGAGGAGAATAAGGCAGACATCTTCAGTATCTTGCACACATGCCAATTTATGGTGATGGTAGGACAGTGCACTTAGGAGTCATCCTGACAAGTCAGTCATCCCTTCTGTGTGCTGGTGATGTGAGTGGAAGTAAAATATTGGCTATACTAATAGTTTCTGGAAGCTGAGCAGTACTGTAACCTCTGCTCAGTTGTATCCCGGTTCTTTTATTTTTATCAAAAGATACGGGAATCTTTTGGCCCTGATATTAATACCATTATTTAAAGATGTTGCATTAATGCGCAGTTTTCTCTAAGTGCTGTCTTCTAAGTGCTCTCCAAGTGCAGAATCTTCTTTTCCAGCAAACTTTTCTTGTCTTGCATCTGGCAGATAGATACTTGATGTTATTTCCTAATGCAAAAGGCAGTCTGACTCCATTTAGTTTATTTCCTTTTTGTCTAACAGCATCATTAGTTATACTGTGAGGGTTGTCACAGCTGCAGCTGTGATCAGAGGAAAGGAAAAAACCACAGCAGTCAGTCTTTGGGTGCTGTAGGATAAGGATTGAGGTGTTTGGTTTCTTTTTCTTTGGTGGGTTGCTTCAGCATAGAAAACTGTCACAACTTGTGTTGATTCCAAATAGCAATTTCACTTCTTCTAGATGCTCCAGACCTCTCCCAAGGAGCTTTCACTGCATGGTAATGTAAGGGAGAAGAAACTGCAGTACCACTCACTGACATTCTGCTTTGGGAAGAATTTGTGATAGCAGCTACTCCAGAGATTTTGTAACTCAGCTTAAAGAAAAATCAAGAACCATCTATGAATTCTAAATATTTGATGCTTAAAGATTTCTGTTTGGGTTCTGATCAGTACTTCCAGTTGCCAACGAAGGTGAGAGTTACCAAAATGTCTGCTGTGGCAAAAAGTTAAAAAATGAAGAACTTACTAATACTGGTACTGCAAAATTTCAATTTAATTTCATCTACCAATGTAATACTACAAAAATGCTTTAAGGGTACTTGAGCATAATTCCTAGCTAAGACAGTGATTGATTATACACAGTTTGCCTTTTTAATAATCAATATTGGGTAACAGTCTTCCATTTTCTTTTTTTATTGCCAGTCCTCAGTTAACGAATTGGAGTATTTGTGGTATGTGTATGTACATAGTGTTCGTGTAGTCATAAAATCTCTTGAGTTTTGATGGTTTAAGATCTTAGAGTATACACATAAGACAAAGATGTGATGTAGGCACATGTATTTATAAGGTATGAAAAGAAGCTTACCGGTATTTGCATGCAAGGAATTTTTAGGAGTGGGTGGGTTTCTAATGAGATGAAGGGAAGAAGCAGGTAAACATATTGAAGTCTGGTATGCATTCAGCAGAAGACTGTCATTTCCTAAACTGGAAGTAATTTAATCATGTTTGTATCTGGAGTAGTTAAATGAGATCATTTGCCATAATTACTTCATGTCTAACAAGGTCTGTTGCCATTTGGATTTTACATTATGATTTGAATTCTAAAAAGAAAGGAGCTTAACCACTGGATGTTGAAAATAATCAATGTATTTCATTATTAAGATTTGAAGAGAAGCTGTGTTTCAAATGTGTCTTTAAAAATCTCCTGTCAAGCTGAACCTTTGCTTGTTATCCTGTTGCTACAGTCTGTTACATGTGTATATGACATAAAGAAACCGTTTCTGTCATCCCAAATGACTGCATTTGTTGTGTGTTGCTGTTGGGACAGAACCATTTAAATCTCTTAATAAGTATTTTTGTTCCATTTCACTGAGCTAGAAGGAAAAGCTCTTCTATAATTAAGGAGCTATTTTCAAGAAAGTGGGTAGCGATAAAACTGTTATTATAGAATCATTGCAAAAGAGGTGAATATTTGTGGTTGATGTCTAGTGCTGTACAAGTGAGTGAGAGTAATCTCTGTCCAAAGAAGTTTCTCGCCAGGGAAAAATCTAATTGCTCAAGAAGAGCAGAGGTTTTGTGCAAATAACTTTTCACGTCTGCTGGTTGTCAGGAGACTCCAGGGTTGGGGGCTTCTGCTAGAGTGTGTGACAGCCGTAGCTGTGTACAGAAACACGTTTGCATCTTCAGTAGCAAGTAATTTTTATCAAAAGGGTAACATCCTTGTTTTAGCATAGCCAAGGAGAGACCTAAAATTGACTTAAATACTTCAGACTCACTTAAATGTTGTTACACAAAAATATAAGTTTGTGATAATGCTGTGTTAAGTAACTGATTCTGACTTTGTATTTATTTGTATATCCTACTGATGGAAAGTATTTGCTGTTAAGGATGTTAGCGATATTGTGCTTACCTGCATCTCTGCTCTACAAAAGCAACCAGATGAAGGGGTACTGCTAAAATTCTGATGTTGTCTGAAATGAGCACCAGGATATACAACTCCTTACCACGATGTGTATAACTTTGGCTTTTCTTTGGCTTTTTTCCCTGAAAGATAGTAATGTCTTTTGAATCATAATTCATTTACATGAAGAATTTTGGTCTGTTACTGAAATAATTGGAATGATATCAGACTTGAATTTGGCAATTAATTAATTAAGAACCAAATCTTACCACATATGATACGGTAACAAGTTCGCTTTGATTGTCTAACTTTCTTTTGAAAGATAGTTTCTATCCATAGTCATTCATTCAATTACCTTGCTTAGGATTTTATAAAGTAGCATTCCAATAAATTAGGTTTGGGGTTATTTTTTTTCTGACAATTATCCCAGCTAAAAAAAATGCTCTCATGTTTCATGTAAACTTACTTTTCTTAATCAGGTTTATTCAGTTTTCTGTGATGAGGTATGTTTGCAAATGCTAAAAGACTGTACATTTTGCTCTATTTCAGTGCCTGATGACCTCTCCATAGAAGAAAGAGAAGAGCTTTTAAATATTCGTCGCAGGAAAAAAGAACTGATTGATGATATTGAGGTAATCAATTTATCTGTAAAGATCCTTAGAAGACTGCTTCAGTAGATTAACTTACAGTAAACTGCATACCTAGGTATGAATTTATTTTTAAAAGCATGTAAATGGCTTAAGCTAAATCTTACTAATAATGAATAGGATTTGTGTGCTTTTAAAAATGCTAACTTCTGTGTCGATGTAATGCAATATGTGTATATGTACACATTTGATTTTTGTAATCAAGAAGTCATTAAACAGCAGATTTGCATACAGGATAGGAGTGAGTGAGAAATCTGGGTAAAGAAATCTTATACTGAAATTGGTGATGGAAATTTGGTCTTGATGCTCTGACATGAGCCCACACTGGAGTTCAGATCCATGTGTTTAACAGTCATTCAGCTGTGGTAAAATCTTTAAGCTAAATATCTAAGTAAGTCATAAGATTAATTACTTTACTTCAGGTGAGTAGCAAATATTAGAAAATAAAATCTAATACATCATATTAATATATGATAAACTATTTCAAAAAGTGTTTTAATGTAGGTTAACATACTGTCCTTCCTTCTTTTGGCAGAGATTAAAATTTGAAATTGCTGAGGTCATGACAGAAATTGATAATCTGACTAGTGTAGAAGAAAGGTAAGTAATTCTAACATCCGGCCATGATTCAGTAAGACCTTGGAACCCATCTTGCAGGAATAGCAAATAAACAAACACGGGTTCACCTTTATTCGGTCTGTCATAAAGTCTCTAAAGCCTGACTTTATCCTGTTCAGGTGTTTCGTTTGTTTGGATAGAGAATATGTTGTATAGAATGTAGTATTTTAGACTGTCCAATTGATAATTATATAGTTCTCTGAAGTTGCACTCGCTTGAAAGAATTTAAAGTAGTAACATAATTTTCCCTCTTATAAAAAGTGAATGTCTTGTTTTGTAATAAAAAATACAAAGTAACCAAAATACAAATTAAAAGAAACTCATCCAGAAGTTGTTGGTTTTGTAAAAGAGCAACTGATAACTGCTCGTTGTTTCTTCTTTTTCTCCATGTGTAGCAAAACTACTCAAAGAAATAAGCAAATAGCCATGGGAAGGAAGAAATTCAACATGGACCCTAAGAAGGTAGAGAATTTTTTTTTCTGCTTGTCTGGAATCAAGTTCCTGTTTGTAATATGATCTATGACAAACACAGTCATGTTTTCTTAAGAAAGCATTTCTGATAATATATGGTCACAGGCCTTATTTGTATATCCTGTAACACACTGAGCAGAGGGCTAAATGAGAAGCAGTCATCTAGTCATTTGCCAGTCACGTGTACTTTTTTCACTTAAGCAAACCTTTTTTGATAATGGAGGTTATTTATCAACAATCAAATATGCCAGGTATTGATTGAGCTGGCTTGGAGGAAGATTATCTGTACCTGACAGAGGTGTTCTATGTTGATATGTCAAATATAAATGTACTTTGGTGTTTGGTTATTAGTGAGGCCGTACATTTTTTTAATGCCCTCGTATTTTTGTTTCTTCTGAAATGCCTTTAACATTTTTTTTAATTTGTTCTCATACAGACTTTTATATTTGCGTATCTAAATTCTGTTTGTGAAAAGGCATGTATGAACATTTGTATGTTTGTATACATATACACGTTTATATGTAAGACTTGTAGAAGCACCTGCAGCTAGAAACTTAATTACCACTTTCAAGTAGTCTACTGTGCATTTAGCCAAGAAGTGAAGTAGTTAATTTCCCTGCAGTGCCTCTACTTTTCTTAAATAATTTTTAATTTTCTGGAAAATTCAGGGACCTGCATATGCTCTTACAGACCTCCCTGATATATTTACAAGAGCTGCTTTGACATATTTGACCTTTAGACTTTACTTTCCATTTTACCTCTTTCTTGCTTTGTTCACTGCCTTCTTGTTGTTTGTAATTGAGATTCCACTTTGAATTTGTGAAGAGTCTTCTTTAAGGTCATTTTGGAAGTTGTTTAGCATTTCTTTTTCTGTGTTAGTTCTTGACATGTTTTCTTTCCAATTGTATTGAATTCAGTTACATTTTGATGGCTTTTCTGTAAAGTTCCAAGTACAGTGATGGCTGCTATTCTTCAGGCTCTGCTTTCAATGTACCAGAAACACTCAAGTACTTTGAGATAGAGAACGATTTTTAAGCTACTGACCATGTCTTATTTTAATCTTTTACTTTTATTTTGGTGACTGTCTAATTTCAGTTCTGTTGAGGGCAGAACACCCCCAAACATGATGGTAGTTTGCTGTTGTCCTCAGCTCTTTCACATCCTAGAAGTTTGTGGCAAAGTCATAGGATGATGTCAGATGCTTTCATTCCAATGTTAACTATTTTTTGTTACTGTTCTTGTTGGGTGAAATTATTTCTATAAATAGATGCTGTAGCCGCATTGCTACTGTAACATAATTTAAATGTGGTAAACAGACTTACAGTAGTAATTTCTTAGTAATGTCTATGAATCAGTGGTGGCCTGCAGTAGCTGGCTGCTCTAAAGCTAGGTCATCTTGTTGTTTGCAGCAGCTATTTTAAATTACAGGCAGCTAAAATATATGTCCTTCTAATGTTGAGAGAATTAACTTGGGGCCATTGTGAAAAGGACATTTTTAATTCATAAATGGGAGGGAAGATGGTCTCCAGAGTTAGGAATGTGAAAGAACTGGGGTAATAATACATGTAGTGAATCCCCCAAGTTTTCTTCTTTAAAACCAAGTAAGAGTTCTAATGTTTGCATATTAGCAGGAACACAGTGAGGTAGTTTTCTTTTACCATTTTTATTTGAAGACCTTTACATTTTCTAGTGCGTAACTTATATGTAGAGCACTTCTGCCTGCCCCCACCCAGGCAATCCTCATTCAAAATAGCAGTGTTCAATGCAGTTACGTGATGTAATAGCACGTACCTTGCTGTTTGCATTTGGTTAGTGGGTATGGGAAGGGCTAAATGGTAAAACACTTCAGGAATCCCTGTGCAGCGGATATAAAGCTGTGCTTGAAATTCGCAGCACTGGAAGTCAGTACTGCCTGCATTGGGCCCAGAAAATGAGTTCTCTGTGATAAATAACTGCAAAATTTGTAATTAAGATACTGTAAAAGCTATGAAATTCAAAGCAGATTTCATTGCACTGACTTAAAAAAAAAATCTATGCAATATTTGTAGTGAATATTGAATATTTCTGTAGCTGTGAATTTTGTGGGGAGGTCAAACTAGTACAGCTGTCTTCTGTCTCCTATCAGTCTACAGAAAGAAAATTTGCATCAAGACAAAAGATAGCGTAGGAGTTGATGGGGATTTGGCTGACCTATTTTACCATTTATTCCAGACGCTGGAGTTGTTGTCGCAGACAAATTCCTTTTCCTGTCTATTTAACTTCTGGTTCTTCAACATCTTAAGAATTTAAAAAAAAAAAAAAAAGGAAAATTAAGGTTTTTTTTGTAGTATGTTTTCCCTGCTTCTAGTCGTGTCCATTATCTTTTTCAGTAACTTGTACAACTTTTGAAAAACTGTTCTGGTCGGTCTGTTTACGCTAAGCGTGAATAATATGGTCCAGGTGTTGAATGAAGGAATATGCAACTGCTATTTCTGATGTTTGTCAGAAAGAAGGTTGTCTCTTGGTTGACAGAGCTGAGAAAACTATTTGGACAAAAAATTCATTTGACCATGATACATAATGTTTTTTCCTATACCAAGTTATTCAAAAAGCTATCAAATAAGCTTTGAAGGGATCATTTTTTAGGAAAGCTCAGCTATTTCTGCTTCAAGATAAAACAGATATTCTTTGCAATGAAATCACGTCTGTTCTGAAATGACTTATCAAAATACTGAGTTGTCAGAGTCAGAATACCAGCCTGTCATTGAAATTAAGTTTTCAGATGATGATAAAATTGTTTTGAGAGAATTGCATTCCAGACTTTTTTTTTAAAGCTTCAAGCCTTATAAAATCACAGTTCATTTTCTTCGTTAAATTAGGTCAGAAAATTGACTTTTTTTTGTCAGGCAGGTAATCATTTAATTATAAAAAAACAGAATCAATCAAACAGAAGGATAATTACTTTTTTGAATGTTACTGCAGGGCCTCCTATGCTATATCAAAAAATAATGGAAGTTTTCCCAGTTGTAGTGAAATAGAAAAGAAATATATTCCATTTGCAGTAATTGAAAAACTTCTAATGTTTCTGAAACTATGAAATATTCTAGTAGAAAACATTTGGAATAATATTAAGCTCTTCTGTACCTATTTGGAATCCAAGACAAAGTTACAGCTGCCATTCCTAATTTCCACTGCCATGCTGTTAGCAGT